AGCTCACCGAAGGACGCTGCGAAGACTCAAACGCTGCCTGCGACTCCCTTACAAACGTCGCCTGCCGAAGTGGTAAAATCTTCTCCGCGATATGTTGTTGTGAAGAAAGAAATAGTCGGAAGTGAAGGTATTGTTGGAAACTTTCTTAATTCAGATTTCCCTCAAATACTCTCCAAACTCACTTCAGTTCCTGCTACTTTATTTGATCCTTGGCAATTCTCTTTACGATTACTGTCAATGTCTTCGCACTCAAATTACTCAATGATGGAATCTTTATTAGGCGACAAGTTTCTGGTCATTTCCTCTTTACGTTACAAACTGATATACTCATTAGTGGTTGTCCTGCCAAGCGGAGCAACACTGCACCACCAGGGTACAGCAGTTGTGCGAAACCCATCGAGAGGGTCGTACATGGCTGCTAAGGGGAGGGAGAGGGGTTGTAAACTCAGGGTTGGTGAGCATCGAGCACCGCAAAGGTGTCACCGCTATCTTTTTGTGGGGCGGAAGCAGTGCCGTAAAGACCCGGATGTATGGAAGATCACTCGGGGCAGGGTCAGTAGGCGTAGAATCAACCCATACCAGCTGCGTTTTCCACCAATAGCTATCGGTTTAGGAAGAAAACAAGAAGTGTTAGAAAACCCCAATGCACCGCTACTGAAGGTAACTGCACAGTGATTTGCTGTAGTGCCACTATTGTAGTGCCTTTTGTCCATATTCTAAACATGGTAATTGTCTCTTCAGAAAATCTCTCTACTTCCATACCGGCATCTGCCAAAGCGGCTTCTCGCAATAGGACTAAAAAACGCCTCCCGTTATCCGACAACACCAAGAGTCAAGGTAGTAGTTTTCGTAAAAAAATCTTGATTTGAGTAGAATTCCTGGGTGGGTTTTAATGGAGTTCGGTTCTGCCCTAGAAGCAGTAGTTTCCCTGATGCTTCAGCCGTTTTCTTTTCAGCAGCAAAAAGGAATCGGCTGAGTGGTGCCGCTTCTCAGATTCAAACTTACTCGAGGCAAGACGCCGCTAATAATGCCGACAGGAAACGTGAAACTGAAAATCAGCCTTCTTCCCAGCTTGAGAAGCCGACACGCAAAAAGAGACGAACAAAGAAGCAAATTGAAAATGATCCAGGAAGCGAGAATGGTAGGAGAAGTGAGGAACCGCAAATGCTGTCGCCTAAGGAAGCGAATAGCAGAAGAACGAAAATGCAGAAAGTCATCAATGAGGTGATAACTAATGTTTTTTTTGTTTTTCGCCACTATGGAGGTCACACATGAGTCGTATTAGGTTGCAAGGAAACTAATGGTCCGTCCGGAGGGCAAAATTCATCCCATCACAGAATTGGAAGAACACAAGCGGAAAGTGAGACCCTATCAGAATCGCTGGTCCTCTGCTATTAAAGGCAGTTGGCACGATAAATCCCCCAAGGCGACTAGGATCAATACTCCTGGCAGGATAGAATTCCGCGACCCTGGGCAGGCGCTGCATAGCGGTTTCCCCGAGGAAGGTGCCCTTATTATCAAGCCACAACTTTACGTCCCAAACGCCCGCCACGCCCGCCCGCCCACAAATGGACGACCGTTCCTGACGCTCGTATTCATTCATTTGCTAAGCAAATTATGAAGCGAAGGGATTGGTATGAAGCGGCCGTGATGCTGCATGCATACATGGGTACACATATGCAGCCGTAT